ACTAAACTTGTACTATACAAACATAAACAGTCGATTTGTTCACTGACCTACTGTCTACCAACCACAGGCCTGTTTACAACATCCATTTTTATGTGCACACTCAGAGATGTTCAGTATTGGGCAGTCATCTCAACATTTTACAGCTTTGCTCTCAGTGTTTTCTGCAGCAGACTTATTTTGAATTGCATATCCAATACAAGTATCACAGTAAAAAAAGACAGTACGAGGCAAGTTTGCATATGGAATAAGGAAGTACAAATGCATCATTAGCTAAGGTTCACATTGGCATCTAGAAAAAAACACACAGCTCAAACCATTGGTTATATATGAAGGCATATTAAATACTCACCTGAAATGTTCACTGTACAAAAGTAGAATTAAATACAGATCTTGGGTTTTCATGATCTAACACAGGTGACAGAGCACTCTTCAAAAGAGACCATTCAAAAAAGATTTTTAAAGACTCTTACTGAGAGCACGAAGTGCATATCACTGTGGAAGACAGATGATAAATCCTAAGCCAAAGGGCATTTCTAGATGTACAGATGTCTTCCTAATAAACTGAAAGGAATGATCGTAGTATAAGAGTGAAAAGGGAAGATCTGTATTTAAGAGTTTCCCAGGAGAACAAGAATTACAGGTGTGTAATTTACTCGTTCTCCTGAAGAAAGTAACTACAGATCTTCATGGATCTAATTCACAGGGGGAGAATGACAACCTTTTCAGACTCTTAAAAGCTGAACATATTAGATTGTGCTCCACCTGAAGCCAAGAAAGAAGAGGAAAAGAACGTGGCCCAGAAGTTTATCTTTCAAAACAAGGAAACAATAAAGAAGAAAGACTTAATAGAAATAAACAAACAAACAAATAAACAATGCATTTTAAATTAAGATGTAATTTTTTAATTACAAATGAATGCATTTATTTAGAACGATTCAAGCTGCTAAACAGGGGAAGGTAAATGATAAGTCATACACCATAAAAGTCTGAAAATTTTCCAGCAAAACACAGGATGCCATCATTTTTTGATTACAGGCCTTCAGGCAGAGGAAAAAAAAATCCTGTACTACATTTGAAGATTATTTGTAAAGTTGGAATTTTTCACCTCTCTTGCATTTTTTGCTATGTTCTATACTCTAAAAGATCCATATTTTTGAGGTATGCACAGCTAAAAAAAAAGTCAGTGATTAACTGTTTAAAATAAAAAAGGATCATATTCTAGCAGAATAGTCCTGGCAGAACAAACATTTTCCTGATGTTTAACACGGAAGAGATTTTCAACAAGTATTTCTGCTGTCATTATTGTTAACAGGACCCAGGTATCATTCACCTAATATCCAACCAGGACATTATTTAAAAAGAAGAAAAAAAAAAGTTTTCTGCATGAAATCAACCCATTTCTACCCTAATTAAACTGGGCTACTGCAATGTTTTCTATATTAAAAGCTACATGGAAAGCCATAAAATAAGGTGCTAGCCTTGTATCTAAATTCAGAACCACTTGCCAAGAGTTATTTTCATTGCTATAGGATTTGTAGTGGTTCAAGAGAAAAGTTTTAATGCAGAAAGCAAGGGGAAGGAAATGCAGTACAGTATCTGTATGTATTTTATACTATCTGAAGAGGAATAATCAGTTTTTTGTAGCAGTTAGCATGGCACCTGTATATTTTTCAATTTTTTCTTTTATTCTCAGAACATTTCTAGGCAGTTATTTCCCACCTTAAGCAGAAAAAGCAAACTGAATTACAGGATGAATGAAGCAGAGGAGGAAAGAATCAGGCCCGGGGTTGTAAAAATCTGACACGTAGCTTGAGAAGTTTTTTTATCCTGCACACTTGACAATTTTTCCATACTCAGATGTGAGGTAACTACAGAAACTTTTCAGCATACAATTAAAAAAGATGCAATGATTTTCGATTGTTACTTGTTACGCTGTTTTGCCCGAAGGTGAACTTGCTGAACTTTCCAAAGGCTGTTAGATCTGCCAAGATGGTATGATCACCCTTGTCCTAACAATTTCATTCCTTCAGAATGAAGAATTTGTGAGAACTGCAACACAGACTTGGAAAAAAATGCTAAAAATTAGCAGAGGTTGAAAAGTCCTGTCTTTTATGCAATTTGAGACCACCTTTATCTCTTTCTGAAACTTGCATAACAAGGATGAGTTGTGAATGTTTGTATGCCAGTGGTCTTCTCAGAGACCTATCCAGTAAGGAGAGACACTTCCATTCAGAGGAGAACATGCATCCATCCATCCAAAGCCCTACAGTATATTTATAAGACAGCAAAGTACCTAAATGAACAAAAGTAGGCAAAAAAAGAAGATCAGAAGTAGATAGCCAGTCTCTTCGACTCAGTTATGTGCATTTGCATACACCTTTCTTTAGAGTAAATTCATGTCTGTCTTCATAGAAGTATGTCTGACATTTCAGTATGAAGAAGCAATCCTTTCTCTGGTGTTTAGGTTTGAACCCTCTGTTTTGAGAGAGGGTGTGAAAAGGAAAAAAAAAGGTCTTTAATATTACAAAGTTTGTGTCAGTTTGGATGAGTTTTTACTGCAGCGTTATAAGGGAGATCTATCAGTTATCTGGAAAATACCAACCCTATTGTAGACTATTTGCACGTGTTTTATGAATGAAGGCTTTGTTGAGTGCTGTGGCTATCTGACCAATAATGACTGAGTAGAACATAAGCAAAACCAAAGAAAATCTACTATACAGCACAAGCATACGATGGTGGAAACTGGGCTTATTAGGACTTGAATGATCAATCTAGTCGTGCGTCTAGAGTTTATTCCTAATCTTACTGCCATCTTCTTATATACATAAAGTGAGGGGATGCTCTACCTTCTTCTTCCGCATCTCCAGAAGTGCATTAGACATCAGAGGATTCTTGCAAATCCTCCAGCTCCCCAAGGATGCTACAGACATCCTCATCTTCTTCCATCAACTCTTCTTTAGCTGGCTTCCTGAGAAACGTAGTACAAGTGTATGAATTCATTTGGACGGGCCACAACACACAGCGCAACAAAATGCACTCAACTGAAGGTCCATCCAACAATGGATCTCGTTTGACCTGCATCTAAGTTCATCACCCTCCAGTGGACACCTTGGAACTCTTTTTGAATCTGTGGGCCCATTTCCATTTTTCTTTATTATTCCACAGATGTGAAATGGATGTAAAAATCAAGGTCACTGAACAAACAAAGTGAGAAAAAAAATCACAGAGGCCTCTTGGCAGGAGAGAAACAATACATCCTACTGAAGATATTTCTACAACTAAGAGCAGAAAAGAAACTAAGATGAATGTTAGCGAAGAAATATAATTAATGTTCATTTTGTTTTAAATAGTGTACAAGAATAGTAATTTATCTGTGAATTAAGTGGACAAAGGTATGCAGAAGAACTAAAAGCTACATCTCAGACTAGAAAAAGAACTGAAAGGATGTAATTTGCTTTTTTTTTTTGCTTGTTGTTGTTTACACTCACCACAACCAGAAAGACATCCTGACAGAAATGCCAACAGACAACATTCCTCCTATAGCCATCAGGAAGAAAAGAATACACATTTAGAGGTCATCTTTTCATAAAGATCACCATTACGTGGGTACCTGCTTGTCACCTCTATACTGTGACAATTTGAATTTTCTCTAATGATGAGTGCTCCTGACTCAATAGAGTCAAGACACACAACCCCAAAGCCAAAGATCCGTATTTAATTACTTACCACAGGACTGTGGGAATTTACCCAAACCCTTAATCTCTCTAACAGCAGTTCCCACCCTATTTCTTTTTTGCTCTGCGGATGCACTAAAGAGACCGAACTGTCCTAGTTTCAGTTAACTGCTTTCCCCCATTTTCTCTGAAACAGAGGGCTGCATCTCTTTCTCCTGAAAAAATTGCACCAATATGTAGATGGGAAAAAGGAGAAAGTACTGTTTATCTTGGATGAAAACAAAACCCATCAGCTTCTGAGATAAAAATGTTCTTTAAAAGATTCTTTAAAGAAAAAAAAAAAATTATTCCGCCTTCTTTTCTTGTAAGCATCATGTAAAATATTCACAGCTGATACAGCGAGTACATATCTGGCTCTCAGAGCTGCTCTCTTCTGCACACCGGCACAAATTCTTGATCTTTGAAAGATCAAGTAGAGAGCACTAGAGTGCTACAAAACATGCTGCTTAATTCCAATGTAAAAGACGAAATTGTTGAAATGATTTTTCTTAGCACAAATCCTAATCTGTACTATATTTAACACCATGATTCAGTATATTAAAAAATGCCATGGATTTTTGTATTTGGCAAAAGTTGTGGGGTTTTTTTTAAATCCCATAGATATTTCTAAGAAATCATCCACAGTAGCCAACACACACATTTCAATATTTAATGGATGTTTAGACCCTTACTACTAAAATTAAATCCAGAACCACGATTTTCATGACTTAATAGAAAAGAAACTCAATTCCGTTTAATCATGATCTATATATATAGCAGTGCCAGAACAGAAGTTTTTGGGCTTTTTAATCAAATGCTACTTTATACTTTAGACTCAACAATTTAGATTATTCTATTACTGAAGAAGTGGCAGCAACAATATATTTTTGACAAAGTAGAACAGTATTTTTCACTTCAGCCTTCATAACATGTTCCTAGCCATTGTCACAGCTAGAGCATTCCAAGTAGCGCTATTCGATAAGCTGTCATCACTGAAGTAGAAAAAGAATGTCCATTCACAGTAGCCTCAAAAAAAGTATTCTTATTTTTGTGCATTAGCATTTTATGAACTTTTCACTTTATCTCTTCTGCTAACCCCCACCCCCTCTTTGTTCAGTTCACCTATTTTATTTTTTCACATGTTCTTCCTTTGGAGACAGTAACGCAATTGACATCATCATTCACACACACAAACACCCTGTGCTATTCTTACAACATTATCTTGCCTTGATCAAAGATGAAACATTTTTTTCCCCTAGACCATACAGGCATTTACTTTTAGCATACCTGGGTTTGGATTCTGTTGAGCCCTCTGAACCAGAGAATTTGTCCACGGCGAAGTTCTCTCTCCGCATGATCAATTTCTTCAACATCTTCATTGAGTTCTTCTTCAGGGACTTCTTCCTTCTCAGTGAGCCTCCCTGCCTCCTTTAAAAACTTTAGCCTACTTGTTGGGATGGTTGCAATGACCTAAAATTACAAAAAAATACTGAAAACATAAGCCTTATTCAATAACAACAGTTTAATGTTCAGCTAGTTACAAAAGAACACTGGTATTTTCATGAGATCTACAATCTTATAGCAAAGCTAAGCGTGTTCCTAATAGTACTTTACACTTAACACAATTCCATTTCAGTCCAAAAATACTTAATTTACTGTGTAAACAATCAGCATTACTATAATTGTTAAACCACACCGGCAACACATAGCTATGGAGCAAGTTTAAGGCTGGGAAAAATGTACTTTCTCAAAAAATTAAAAGAGGATGTAAGTATTTGAATCTTATTATTGAAAGAAAACTTACCAAGATTGATACTTAAGAATTTGGGTATTTCTAATGACTGCTAATACTCTATGTATGTTAATGGAGCTGAAAATTAGTAGCATCTCATGCTTATAAATATTCTCACACTACACTGGTTCATGCATTCAGCTTCCCTTTGTTTCAGCAAGTTGAAATGCTTTTCTCAGCATTTATCAAAAGGGAAGTTTCTGAAAGGTGTGGGTTTGACTGTCTCCCTCTTGGACTTCTTACAGGGCTAGTAAATCTGATTAACTCAGCCCCTCTTCTGACTCTGTTTGTCCATCATACGGGTCCTTGGAAATAATGAATACAAGAGATGGGTAATAATCTTAAAAATTTGCAAATGCTGTAGTTAGACAATGTTATAACACAGTTATTTTTCATACATTTCAGTGTTACCCTCTTGAACAGTCATTTTCACTTTGTTCTGACTTCTTTTGTCAGCTGAATAAAAATATGAACAGGTGACTATTTAAACAAGACACTACCTGGAACATATTAAATGCTTAAAAAATAAAAACTCCTAGAAAGTTAACGCTAAGACCCACTTAGCCAATAGTGCCGCATTTTTCTTTTTTGTCTGTCTTTGTTTCAGTAGTGAGCAATCACATCCCTGAAGACCAAATGTGTGAAAGACAGAGATAGAAGCAGACATTTGCAGCAAATTTGGTGAGGATATAACTTAGAGTTTTAGAAAAGTGGAATGGATGTATTGAGGACACATGAAAAAGCACCAAATATTTTTAGGATTAAAATGAACTGTTAAGTTTGCTGGGCTTACCATTGAACTTCATGATCCACAACTTCACTTTTATTATATTTTTTCAAGACAAAGAAATGTGAAAAAAATCCCTGTTTCTACACTACTACTACAGAACCTTTTTAAAATGCATTTTGGGGTTTGAAAAACACAATGTCAACTTGGAAAATTATTGAAATCACTCATTTCATTAATTAGTGAAGACAGAACAAGAGAAAAAAACGTAAGTACTAGTCATTTAAATACTTACTGAAACTGCTTCAGCTTCCCAGTTTTCAAAACACTCTAAAGCCAGCACTCTACAGAAAGAAGCTACTTGAGATTGTTTGGTACCTGATGAAACTGATAGCGAAGTACTTTTAAGTCAGTACATCTAGAAACAGCTGTATTTGGCAGTGGCTCGGTGTGACAGAACATACCTTTCCTTCATGACCTCTCTCAGCCAGGCTGATAGATTCTGCTCTGACTTTTTTCCTGTGTCTTTTTGATCATTTGTTTTCCGTATCTGCAGATACCTGCCCACCTCAGGTAACGGCAGACTCAGACTGGACGTAGATTAAGGAACTAAATATTATTATTCCCAAGAAAACTATTGGAGTTTTCAAAAGTAATCAATAATTCTGGTATTGTAACATGAAATACTTTAGAAAGACCAGGTTTTCAAAAGTGATGAGGGCCACCTTTTAGAAAACTGTTCCTCCAACCATCTCAGATTGCCTTCCTCAAAATGACACCTTAAATCACTTTCAGAAGTGCCAACTTTCACATCTAATCTTCAAAATCTTGACTGGTTTTAGTGGCTCACAAGAACAGCAGGTGCAGGAGACTGTGATAAAAGAAAGGGATAATTTGTTTTGTGCTGAACTAGAATTAGTCATAGCAGGAGAGAAAAGGCTGAGAAGAGAAGCACTTCTGTTAAAGGAAACGCAGTCTCTCTCACTTTAGAGCTCCGTGAAGATAGGCCTTGCCACAGACTAAATCACGTAAATAACGCATATTTTTAGCTTGTGTTTTTCTTTTCAGGTCACTAAATACTGACCACAAGAGATAGATATTATTTTTTTTCCCCTCTGTATTTGCTTTATGTAAAATTGTAGTCTTTCCAGTGAGAAAATTGTTGAGGTATTCCGATACCAGCTTTAATTCAATGGCTAGGCTCTCCACAATAAGGCAACTCTGCCCTCATCTTTGAGTTGAAAACAGATACTGATATTAATCTGAGTTTTCAGTAGTTATGAAATAACCATGTATAACAACATTTAGAAGCCAAACATTACACTGATAAAAGGCTGTGGGAAATTCTTCACAGCTGAATGACCTGATAAAACTGGTAAGATTTTTCTCCCTTTCCCTGCTTTTCCTCCCTCCTCCCAAAAGTTGATATTGTCCAGTGAGTTGAAAAAAACACCTTTTCTTTCCAAGAATTACCAAAATGATTTTAGGTTTTTCCCCTGGAAGTTCATAAACCAAATGCCATCTTTAGGTAATGATTACATTAGAACAATCTAACAGTGGTGGCTTTTACCAACGTATGCATTAAAAACTGTCAGGACTCCAAGCTTATTTCTTTAAAAAAGATTTAAAAATCTGAAGCTCAACTGTCCAAAAAAGTTGTGGTGCGTTTTTTGTTGTTGTTGGGAGTTTTTTTGGTGGGGTTTTTTTGTGGTTTTTTTTTTTTTGTGGGTTTGGGGGGGGGGGTGTTTTGTTTTTTTTTTTCATAAGAGAACAAATAATCCATTTTGAAAGCTAGCATCTATTCATTACAATTCCATCAGACCATTTCCATATTCTATTGCAGTTGGCAATTTCTTGCCTGTTTCTTCATAGTGACACACTAGCTGATCTGTCTGTATCTTTACATCTGAGAGGCAAAATGTAATTTCACATTTTTCACATATTTTTACTGTCTCAGGAGGCATCAACTTAAATACATTAATAATGCATTCAAAGATGAAACAAAATTAACATTATTAACTTTGCAATATGTGTTTTATATAAAAGAATAATGTAGTATTCTAACAATACTGATTGTATCTCTATTATTACTTCCAGACAGATAATAGCATAACTTACTTAATTATCACACTACCACTTGTTTTGACGTCTATATATACTTTTATATTAGCTAATGATGACACAAGTTGTAGCAGAACTTTAAAATGCACTTTTCTGCAACTACGGTAGGGAAAAAAACTTTTTCTGTCATTTCCTCTTCCATACTTCACATACAGAAGTAGATGGATGGAGGATCATTGAGAGTGTCTGCCAAACGCACTGGACTTGGTCCTGTGCCAGTACCAAGGTTACCATGGATCGACAGAATGGCAGTTGCAGCAGTGCTGTGTCCAGTTCTGGCTCCTCAGCTCAAGAAGGACAAGGAGCTGGTCCAGCACAGGGCCACTAAGATGAAGGGCCTGGAGCACCTTCCACATGTGGAAAGGCAGAGAGCTGGGTCTGTTCAGCTGGAGAAGAGGAGGCTGAGTGGGATCTTATCAATGCTTATCAATATCTAAAGGGTGGGTGTCAGGAAGATGGGGCCAGGCTCTTCTCAGTGGTGTCCAGTGACAGGACGAGGTGCAATGGCCATAAACTGGAAAACAGAAGGTTCAGCCTGACCATGAGGAAACCCTTCTTCCCTGTGAGGGTAACAGAGCCCTGGAACAGGCTGCCCAGAGGGGTGGTGGAGTCTCCTTCCCTGGAGACTTTCCAAAGCCGCCTGGACTTGTTCCTGTGGGATCTGCTCTGGGTGATCCTGCTCTGGCTGGGGGGTTGCACTAGATGGTCTCTAGAGGTCCCTTCCAACCCCCACCACTTGGAACTTCTTTTCCCTTTCAAAAATGTGCCATGGCTGAACATCCGCATGTTACGTTGGTTACGCTAGTGCAGGGAAGGTTACAGTGCCTTTGCCCTTGCTCTCCTTTCTTTTTGTAACTAGAGGACTGGCTTATGCATCAAACGACTTTCATGAAAAAGTCTAACAGAAGACGACCTTGGTGATAGCACACCCTGCTTACGGAAAGAAAACATAGGAAAATTAACAAAAATTGAAAGGAACAGTGGGATAAATTATCCTTACTACTCTATCTATGCTTCAAGTACTTAGAGAGCACCCTGTATTGCAATGTGTGCTAAATAGGACATTGTGAGAGGTCAAGGAAACAACAGTGTAGTCAGATTGTGAACAACATCAGATCTTTGATTGATTTATAAGAAACGAAAGAAAGAAATATGCATATTCCTGAATGCTTACCTGACCCCATACTAGTTCTCCTAATCCAATAAATACACACCACATCCACTGGTCAAGCTGCAGGGGAGAACAGCTAAACGGTTTTCCTCCAAACTGGACAATTACTATCTACAAAGAAAAGGAGAGAAGAAAGGGAGGAAATATTTACTGCAGAAAAAACCAAAACAAACCACTACCCACTGCCAAAACCCCAAATCCCACTTAAAAAAAAAAAAAAAAAGCCAACAACATTCAATCATATTTAACCTGAGATTTCACTTTGTCTTTCCACGTATTACAGGCCTGCTGGTTTGATTCAAACATATCTTACCAGTAGAATAGTCAAATGCATTACGTATTAACAATGTACTGTTTGCTGGACACAATCTAAAGAGCACCTAAAATCAAAATACTATCTTATATTCCAGTTTGGACATTTAGGCTGAACTGAGTCAAGCTACCAGAAGTACATTTGTGGAACCCATCCAGCAAAAGCTGCAAAATCTCGGCCACTAAAAATCAAACCCCACAAACGTATGCACCCTGAATTACACGTCAGAGAAAGCCAGACCAGTTCAGACTACGGCTTCCTTAGCCTCCTGTTTAACAACAGTCATATATGAATGCCCAGGAAGGAGGAAAACAGAACTCTCCCTATGTATTCTTCCAGGTTCTGTCTATACTCAGCTGGGGATATGATGGAGTTTAGTTTGGAATGTCCATTGCATGTTGCATTTTTTCCTCTAATTCACATTTTGTTGTACATTTACAGACTTGTTTTCATGGATAGGCTGATAATGTTTCAAAATCTAGTCCTTTTGGAGAAAGAGGGTGGGAAAACCACACACCTTGCAGGAGGATAACCAACACACACGGCATCTGAACAAGTTTCAAAGCCTGGTTATAATGAGAAGGTTTTGCTAACTGAAAAACAGGTATTATTGATTTTTTTTTTTTGTTAGCAATGCTGCTGCAAAACCAGGGACCTGAAATCACAAGCTAGAAATTTAAACTGTCAAATACTGCAAAAAAGTTCAAGGAAATTTGTCTATTCTAAGATACAAAATAACACTAATACATAACGTGATAGCTTTCCTTTGTGAGTGAATAAACACAAGCTATGAACACAAACTCATTCCACACGAAGTGGAATGCAGGAAGAAGGGGACAGAGAATGGAAGGCAGTGATTAGGAAGTGGGAAGATGAGGACAGGACAGGAGTGGTAACTACAGACTGATTTCTCCAGCTGTTGTAGCTCTCACAGAAGCACTTTCTGATCCTTATCAAGGATCATTGTGATAGTCTCCATATTTTTCACTTTGAAAATTTGGCCATTGCTGCTGGTTTTTAAATTTTTGGGGAGGTTTAAGAGGAAGACTAAACTAAACTAATAGTTAATGGAACTATTGCACTCAAAAATGCAATATCAAAGCCAATTAGTCTGTACCTCACAGAAAGTGTAGTAAATACATATGGAACTAAGAAAGTTTTAAACATGAAATAAAAACAATTCTGTAATTTCCCATATCCAGCTACATAATACAAGCTCCTGGAGACAATTATTTTCACTTTAGAATAAAGTGCTTGGTCCAAACATCCAGCTATTAAAATATACAGCCAAAATAATAAATACTTTTCTGGCACTGCTTGAGCAAGCAACATTATGCGAAGATACACTTCCACAACATAATAAGCAAAGTGGAAAGTTAATAGAAATTTTTACCTTCTGCTACCCGAATTAAAATTACCTGATTTTAAAAAGAGACTTAAAAGCAAGAGTCACAGCCTAAGTACAATGTCCTTTGTGGTTAACAGTCAGACTGCAAACCTAGTGTTTTGAACTATGAACTTCAGTATTTCAGCTACTAGGAAATAGGGAAGAGTGAGTAAAATCAGCAGTCGATTCAGAAGTGTCGCTGGCAGCTAAATGGCACTTTTCCTCCAAGCCAAAGAACTGACTACAGTCCTACAGAGAACTGTGAAAACATTACCCATGATTAAAAAAATTAGAGATGATTGTGAACTTGCCAGGCCTCGCCAAAAGCATTTTAGCTCATGGTAGTAAACCCATGTTTTTGAACTAGCTGTTAAAGATCATCACTATCAAGTTCTACCACCAACCACTACTGTCCTTTCTCCAGTACTTAGTTCAATGCGTGGTTCCCTCTTCCCTGTTTCAAACCACTACAGCCCAGATTAAAATTATCTCTAGCCTCCTCCTTACTCCTTCTAGGAGAAAGGTCCAATAGCTTCCAGGATGCCATTGCGGAATTGAGCAATAATGTCAAAATAGATACAGCTCAAGTCTAAGCAATTGTGAAGGCTGCAGTAGACTTCTAAAAGGTAATGTCAAATGGTATCAACTACAGGACAGATGCCAGCAAATGGATGGATACAGGAGCAGAAGGAGGAATTAGAGCTCTTACAGGAGAAAAATTAGTGCTCTTTGGGAAAACCCTAACTGTGTTGACATACGACTGGGACAGCAAACTCGAGACAGAGACATGAAGAATTACTACCAAGTAGTAGCATTACTGAGAACATTGAGGAGCATTTGGTAGTGGCATCTACCCTCCGAAGAACAGATCAGCATTAGCTATTAGAAGGCCAATTTGTCTATTCATGGAGCAATAAATTAATGTAAAATGCTTTACTGCTATTGCTTTGTATAACATTTAATAACTTCTTAAAAAAAGGTTACAATATCAACATATCATGATGGCTATTGTTGTTACACATCTTCAGACTAATTTAAGATTTGACCTAGTTGTAATGATCAAAATATATGCCGTATTAGTATGCCTAAACAACATCTTCCATTACTGACACTTGTATTGACTGAGAAAATATGTGAAATCATGTGTTTTAAGTGCACCTCCTACAGCATTTAGATTTCACAAAATAATACACAGATAAAAAACCTTAAGGTAAATTTCTGATGAATAGTTACTAATTCTTGCCCAAATCCTTACCTGAATAGCAAATGTACCCAGTACAATAGTGCAAAAAATTGGATTTCTGAAGATGCCGTCGAAGACATTTCTTTCACCATGGATTTTCCGTGCATTGATTTCATTGAAAAGCTGCATCATGACAAAGGTGTTGAAGATAATGGTGTAATGTTCTGAAGGAGGAGAGTGAAGTGGTGCATTCCTTCCACTGTCAATCTTAAACATTTTCTCACCTAGGTATTAGACAAAAATAAAAGTTTCCACTAGAATTAATTAATCAAACTTAAGTTTATATTTCCTTTGTTTGCTTTACCTAGTTGCTGCTCATGCTCTGCTTTACCAGCTTTCTTCCTGCACTTAATATAGGCAGAATGTATAGCACCAGTGAGCAAGACACATCTTAACTTCTAAACAAGACGCTTCTCAATGAAGACTTTTATCTAAAAACTTAGTATATGTGCACAAATAGTTTTCAGTAGTGCTTTTCCTCTAACCAAGTAGTGATTATTCTAATTATTCAATGCTTTCTGAGGTACTGAGCACTTGAGCCCATTGACAGGATGTTTGCAGTTTTCTACAACAATTAGAAGCAACCACTCTTCAGTACTTTTACCCATTTGCTAATCCAGTATGGCATAACTCTTGACAAGCATTCAAGGATATTAATGATAAAAAACATAGACATTCCAGGTTTTAAATAGATTTCATTTTGACCATTCTGCTAGTCTGCTTTGAAAACATACCATCAGTCACTGCTTGTTATTTGGGTAACCTGACTATCACTTTTAGATCTGAACAATTAAAAAAAGCAAGATACAACACATGGTGAGTCACTGTACAAATGAGATATGTTTTTAAAAGATGCCTGCACGTGAGGAACTTCTTGTATAGAATCCTAGAATGGTTTGTGTTAGGAGGGACCTTTAAAGCCCATCTAGTTCCAATCCCCCTGCCATGGGCAGGGACATCTTTCAGTAGGTCATGCTGCTCAAAGCCCCATCCAACCTGAATGTGAATACTTCCAATGATGGAGCATCCACAGTTTCTATGGGCAACCTGTTCCTGTGTCTCACCACTCTCATTGTAAAAAATATTCTTCCTTGTGTCCAATCAAACCTACCCTCTTTCAGTTTAAAACCACTGCCCCTTATCCTGTCACTACAGGTCTTGGTAAAAAGTCTCTTGTCTTTCTTACAAGCCCCTTTTATATTTTGAAGGACCTGCCCAGAGATTTCTCTTCTCCTGGCTGAAAAACCCAAACTCCTTCAGCCTTTCTTCAGCGAAGAGCTGTGCCAGCTCTCTGACCAGTTTTGTGGCCCCTCCTCCAGACCCACTCCAACAGGTCCTTGTCTCTGTTGTACCAGGGACGCCAGGGCTGGATGCAGTACTCCAGGTGGGGTCTTACAAGAGTGAAGCCGAGAGGAAGAATCGCCTCCCTTGACCTGCTGGCCATGCTTCTTTTGATTCATCCCAGAATACAATTGGCTTCCTGGGCTGCAACTGCACATGGCCAGCTCATGTCCAATTTTTCACCATTTTCTTATACACAACGTTTACGGATAACATACAGTTATTGAAAGAGGCATTGACTTACTACTCATTTTCATAACCAGTGTTGTGTTAATAAAAGCAAATTAAAACTTGCATAGTTTTCCACTATCCCACTAGCATCATATTCAGATTTTTTTCAGAAAGAAGAAGAAAGGTTTTCTCCTGCAGCTGTTAATTCCATCAGCTAAGTTAACAGTGAGGGGTTTTTTTTTGCCTTGGGATATTTGAGCAGTTTATGTTCAAGTCACTGGAAATAATGAGCATGCCTCCAAAGAAAGTATTTAGCTTACAGACTTTTGAGAGACAGTAGATTACAGTATCACAGATATATCAGTAATACAATATGCAGCCATAAAAGTTAGGCTGTGAGAGAGCAGAGATTTTAAAGAAGATTATACATCTCCAGAGAGATAACTAAGTATTGGAAAATATTCCCCTTATTACAGGCAAACAATAAAGGAAAAAATTAATGAAAGCAAAGAGATATCATCACTTTATCTTTATTACAGATATACACACATCTATTTGCTTCCATTCAATATGCAGACAAGCACTAATATATGAATAATACTTTCCTTGGTGAGAGTACCTGTCCTTAAGTCTTTTATTATTCTATTCCATCATTAAATTGGCAAAGCAGAACATGCTGCTATTGTGGAATGGCAGTGGTTAAACCCATAACTAGATTTTGTTTCTAAACATGTTGCGAAGTAATTACAGGACATCGACTTTATTACTGAGCTTAAAATCTTTTTATACTACAGTATGACAGAACTAGATAGTGATATCTGGATTTTTGATGTGCCTGATGTCTCAAAGGCACATTATTGTATGTTTAAACACGAAGTATTTACTGCCACATTACAGAAAAAAATAGAAGAATTCGATGTACTAGTCTCTACAGAAACCTACAACAAAAAGATGAAGTATTAGTTGATCAAAATATAAATAATTCTCTCCAGTTTGGAATTTATATATCAAAACACTGAGTTTAGAACATCATCTCCCTGCAAAGCTGAGCCTTGTGGAGTTTAGAAAGGAAAAAGACTGTATTTCCTAGGCCTATCAGGAAATTGGTTGGTCTGTGTCATTCAAAGTATTCACGGGTTTTCCAGAGATCCATAGAAGTAATTAGAATAGGGTGAAAAAGCCTGGTTTTCTTTTTATCAGGGCTCAGTATTTTAAACCAGAAAACTCATCAAAAAGCTATTAAAAGTCCCCATAAAGTTCACAGAAGTTCTCGCTCCAAAATTCATATTACATGAATTACCAAGACTGTCTACCCCTGTTTTAGAGTATCTGAAATTACAATTTCCATAGACTTACTAGACGTTACCAAAATACACTGTAAGTCTGGCAATATTACAGTCTATCTCCAAAATCTTGCAATCATTTTGGTTTAAATAGCTCCACTGTAAACAGACCATCACTTCCTTTGAACATTCAAAATAAATTGCCCGTTGTTGGTAAGGTGGGGCAAGACTTTCACAGCAGAGCTCAAAAAACTCCGAAGAATCATAAATTTACATTTACAGCTTGTATGAAAATCTGTATGTAACGAAAAAAAATCTGAAAGACAACACGTGTAATTTAACAGTGATGGCACAGTGACAAGAACACAATATCCATTTGAGAAAATGATCAGTCCTTCGAGCAAGTTCACTTATTGTTGTGGAGCAATAGGAACTATTATTAGCCCCTACTATTCCCTGCAGCAAGAAACACTCCTCCTCCTTCCCTCCCCTCCCCAAAATACAACCTATAAAAAACATCTGTGCTAGCAAGGCGTGAAGGAGTCCACTAATCTAATAAATTAGATTTTTTTCCCTTTTAACATCCATCCTAGATATTAAACGTCAAAACAGAGTGGTATTTGTATCCCTTAACAGTGATTACTTGCTTATCTACACTACTTAAGATCAGCATTATTTCTTGACTATGGCAAACATTTTGCTCCCGATTGATAAGCGCTTCTCCAGATATTGGTAAAAAGGATCTTGATTTTTTCTTTTTTTTAAATCTGTTGCTACATGCCCACTAAAGATGACAAGTCCCAAAATGAAATTTTAGTGTAGAAGCAGGCTAGATATTGTTTAAAATGCAACCACCTGTGCTAAATTTTAACATAAACCTTTGCCAAAGCCCAAATCTACATTTTGTTAGAAGGCAAAAAAGCTCAGAGGCGCTTCCCAATGTAAACAACATTGGAAAGGTGACTCAATCCCTCCGTTGTTTGCCGAACTCTTCCTGATCCCATTAAACAGCTTGGTCCTCCTAGCTGTTTAACTGTGACAGACTTAACGTACGTGCATTAAGTGGTTACATTTAAAGCATTTTGACCTGTCAGGCTAGAAGACCCAGATGCTTCTAAACTGAGCAACAAGCCTAGCAAACCTCCTTACCGACAAAAAGAAGTGTAAAGATGAGAGTAAGCTGATAAACAGCATGGCCCAGGATGTTCTTCATCATGGTGCGGGATATAAGAGGTTTGTTCCTGCCATATGGCTTTCTTAGCAGTAGAGCCTCTGTTGGAGGTTCGGTGGCCAAAGCAAGGGAGGCAAAGGTGTCCATAATGAGATTGACCCACAACATCTGTACAGCTTTGAGAGGAGAGTCCTGTGGAGACAAAGCAGAAAGTTACGTATTTCCTAGAAAAATAATTGTTGTCATTTTCTGCGATTTCATTTCTTCCTGTGTGACTGCAAGCAGTGCTGAAGACAGGACACTGAAAACATGGACCTCTGGTCTGACCTACTGTGACCCTTCTTGTATTTCTTACGCAGGACCAAACTCACAGGAAACATAAGGATCGAGCAAAGATCACTTATTTTTCTCTAGTCATTAAGGCAGGAATATTTACAATCACGCAATTCTTACAAAGCATAACACTGACACTTTATAATACATTTTACTGTGTTAATTCATACATCATGCTTAAATTTTCAGCTTAAATTTACATAATACAAGCGGGAGTTCCTTTCCTGGAAGAAAAATTATCCTGAAACAAATTTAAAAGAAGTATTTCCTTTTACTATAACCTACCTATCTGGATTTTTAGAGACAACTTGAAATTATTCAAAATTTATTAAACAATTACTGAGACATTTTAATACATCTTAAATAAGACGTTTTAAAAACAGTAGTGATAAAAAAATGCCTGATATTTGAATTAAAAATTTACTCTGAATCTCATTAAAATATGTCAAATGTGCAAAAATAAGAAAATCTTTATTATTTTACTGGGTAACAGGATAGCACATTTGAAACCACGGAATTTGAAAGCAAAAAACTCCAACCAGTTGTCAGGATGGCGTATTTCTTTTCTGAAGTGGATCACCCACCGCTAGAAGGAGCTCTTTCCTCACTTAATTCAAGAAAGTTTGTGGTCGTATTACAGAGGACTAGATCATTTTTTGGTGGCTGTTTTTTTAAGTAAATAAATTAAACTACTACAGATGTTAGGAGACCTGTGGATGAATGCTATAAAGTTTGGATGTGTAATTCACTGGGGCAGCTGTAATGACAGATTCAACTGCTACAAGAAGCCGTATCAAGAAAAATGAAGTAGGTTCTTCTTTTGTATCTAACAACCTTCTGTGACTTTAGGTGGAACACAAAATGGGTAGCACTAGTAAGGTCTGCTTCCTGTTTCAGATAGATGGTTTTTGTCAGGAAAATCGAACCTCAAAAGTCACAAGGTATCAACATGACAGATGTTATAATGGGAGTTAATCTACAGTGCCAAACCTGGAAGATCAGAGCACTATTCTTACGCGTTACATTACCATGGCGCTGCAGCAGTGAAGCAAAGAGATTTATGGAGCAGCCTAAAAGCCCAATCAAAGCCAATAAAAATCCTTTATGAACTCTACCCTTTTTCTCAAAGGGTTAAATGTTCATTTTTAAGGAAATATTATCAAATATTGAGGGCAAATATCCATTCAGTATCCATGGACATATGGACAGCAGCAGTAAGTGGTTCTCTTGTGGATTTGGTTTTTATTCCAACTCTCGCTTGAGATAAAATACTATTTCCTCTTAGAAACATATTTTTAACACCCTTACATTTACACAGATTTTGATATATCTTGTTTATATTTGGGTTTGGCTTATTCAAAGGGATAGAGAAAAGCAACCTACTGTTTCTAAGTCTTACAGGTTGGCTACATCAGGGAAGGGAGGAAGATTAGCATTAGTAGAATCTTGACCTCTTGGTTATGGGCTGCATTAACTGGAGAGTTCAACTCATTAGATATGCAGCTGCAGAGGCAGGAAACATCTTTGTCTTTAGAGGTGGCTAAAAAAGCTAAAAGCAATCAGGACAAGCTTTGATCCAAATTGAGATCTCATTTATTAATACCAATGGCTCAAGCAAGGAGGGTACTTGCACTCAAAGCAGCTTGTTGCTAGGGCTCAGAGACCCTAGACTTGGACACAGTATACAGACAAAAAGGAAAACACGTTTTCCACAGAAGAATTTTCCTTTGAGTATTTTTACCTGTTCAGTTAATAAGTTTTCTTGGGAAACATTCTCTACTTTGAGATGTTACAATGGCTGAATTACCGCTTCATGCGCTGACTTCATGTCAATAAAACTGTACTTGCCTGCTATGCTTAATAAATAGAGTCAAACATTCAGGTGTCTATCAGAGCCTGACATATTCCTAGCACAACGAAAAGTCAGATTCTTTCAGTGTCTAAATCACACCGCTGTAATTGGCAGTCATCAGTTTTGGCAACAACATGTTCTTACCATTTCACACTGCCAATCACCTTGGGTGGCTATGGTGCCTCTAATAATTACCTATTATTGGCAGTGCTACACTGCGCAGTCAAGTGTGAAAGCTCATTCTAAGCTGAAGCCAAAACATTAAATACACATTAGTCTGGGCAGGCAGTGGAAAGAAATTTCCACTGCAACTCTATCTGATTTCTGATTAGTTGGTGGAAACTGAGGAAAATGCATATCAGCCAAGGAGCTTAGTCTTCCATTACAGATTTTAGTAATTTATGCAAGTGGGATGCACATTCAATGTTCTTTTCACTGCATTTTAACCACTAAATGACTAGCTATTAATTCTTCATTCACTTTCTCAAAACTTTGTGGGTGAAAGCTGTTCGAACTGCAAAACACCCAAAATCACCACTTATCTGTCAAATTCCTTTCCACTTGACCTTGGAATAGGTTAGCATTGGCCTAGAGGGAAAAGGAAAATGTCCCTTAAATCAAGCGATGTTACACTTCATCTCAGAAACACTTAAAAGTACAAATCACCAAAGGCTGGGAATAAACTAGAAATCTTTTGTGACATGCAGAGCCTCACAAATTTTAGAGCTTGTTACTTTTGATTTAGATGACAAGCTGTAAAGGAATAAAAAGGTATTTTCACCCTTACCTCTTCACTCCCACTTGTCACAGAACACATGCATGGATTCATAAAAATGAGCATTTCTAGTAGGTTAACTTTATTTACATAAGTGCAAAAACACATTAGCCCTCACTTCTGCTGCCAGATCACACTGTCTACTAATTGTATGGAATTGTGTGGCATCCTCAATTCTATTTCCATGCCTCTAAGCCTTCTCTAAACAAAGCTAAACAGTACATACTTTGGTTTTATATTATAGCTTTTTCAAATTTGCCAATGCTATTATTTTAGGATTTGCCAAATACAGTTCTGCAGTAAAACATTATAACCATGTAAATTACTGCCTTACACATGTAAGTATAGATCATCCTCATTTTTTGAACAAGATCTGTAAAAACAAGAAGTGATTCATGCAGTAGTTCACTGCTACAGTGCTTTTTAATTAACATTTAATTTTCCAAACATAATGTCCTATAGAGTCACTGTTTTCAGTTCCTAATGTCTTCTAAAACATTAAGTTTTTCACAAAGTACAGGAATAATAATTTGAATGTTAAATGCTAAAACACAGTCTTTGTCCTCTCTTTCTTTAATGCAACCTTTTTGAATAGTTACTTTGCCTCAGCAGTTGGAGGCACAGACAAAATTTGGCATGGAAATAAACCTGTTAGTTGTATAGCTCCAGTAAAAAATTGTTGCCATGTGACTGAACTCCATTGTTTTGTACATACCCAGATTATTTTTGACTGCTCCAAACATAATGACCTAATATTTTCTTGGTAATGTGTGTATGCTGAGGACAGGAAACACGATGGACCTTCTGACTTTGTAAGGCATGTATGGAACTCTAGATGATACCTAGAGATGGTGGAGCAATGACTCATTTGAAGTACAAAATTTACAATAATCGTAGGCAGAGTTCCAAAAAAAAAAAACGCCCTCACTGAGTCAATCAAGGGCTCTGCAAAAATGTTACTCAGAGAATTAAGTCAGAATATAAGAGTTTATGTCTCCTAAATTCACTGGAAAAATACATTACCAGTTTAACCTGAAGTAATGGTTGCTGAACAGGAATGACAGTTATATGCAAACTGGGCAAGATAACCACACCCTGATGATTTTAAAAGCATGCACTGGACAACACAGAAGGAAGCAAGAGGTAAATGGATTAATTGCAAGACAAGGAGAATTAATACAGCTCAGCTGCAGTTTGCCACGCAAGCTGCACTGCCGTGGCACGAGTTGTGAGCTCGTGGTGGGTGCTATGTACACAGTGCACACTTAATGAAGAGCACCTACGCAGCCACAGATTGAGTTTAGATGGCCTTCTTGAAGCTCAGTTTTCTTGCATGACCTAGATCTCAAAGTGCTTTACATAATTATAGAATCACAACACAGAAGCTCATTATTAGTTGAAAATTCGGAACTCTTGGCTTATACATTGAGCTGCTGTAAACTCCAATAGGGTCCGATGCAAGTTTGACCCCTGTGAGGAGCAGCTTAGTTTTGGCAGCAGCCACGCTAATCTTACCAACAGGTGACATGTATCTGTAATTCCTATGCTGCTTAAAATATGAGTTCTGTGACACGACCTCGACGGGACCCGTAACAGAGAATAGCAAATGGCTATTTGAATTGGTCCCATTTAGTCTGCATAGTAACTTCTTCAAGAGCCCACTGCTACTCCTTCACAATCGTTGTGTAACACTGGAGTAGCACATAGGGTCACATATACTTCGCACACATAGTTAGACATCTACTGAAGAGCAAACCAGAACAAAATAGAAATAGTAGATATGGTAGATGTCTCCTTAACAGCGGCACCTTGCTGAGGCAGGCGTTTGGTAGACAAATAATGAAATTATATTAGCTTAACATCAGCAGAATTAAGCTAAACAGTAGTACCCTGAAGTGGAATTGGCAAGGACACTGATTTTATTTATGTATTTGAGAAAAAAAAGCAGCAGATTCTAAAATGACTACTAATGTTCACAGGTTCTACCTAATATTTTCCTTAAGCCCCTCCATGGCACTCCTGAAGTGCTCTGTACCAAACAAATAAGCTCCTTCTTAGCAATGTATTCTCCGGGTGCTCCTTGGAGGTGTAGTTTCACTCCTAATAATACTCACACAGTTGGACCCTTTCATTAACATAGAGTTGCTGTGGTTTCACCAGGAGTCCTGGGGCGATCTGACCACATACACATATTTACACAGACACTGATGCAAACACAGGATCAAGACTGAATAATATTATCTATTTAGTTGCAAAACTCAAGCCAAGTGTTAAAAAAAATTAGTCAAAACAAAGGTTTTATCACCTTTGTACTTCCTTTAAGTTCAAACTGTAGAAACAGCAAAACCAGTAGGAGAGTGTCAAAGAAGTTTCCTACTCCGAGCATCCCAGTAGGCCGGTTCTGAACTGCAGAACAGATTTTTTGAGAGGTGACATTCAGAAGCATGAGAGAAGTGTTACTATCTACATTCATTTTTTTCTCATTCTAGATTTGATGAAATATTGCCAAAAGGGCAGCATGTATAATATGAAGTAACTTGAATATTAATTGAATGAAATTATATCCTGTGTGTAAAGGAAGCCAAACTGACTGCCTAAAAGCAGCATAAAATTCAGTCCAATGTGGGCCTTCTTTATGTTCGTTTTGAAAGTCACAGAAAGGTGTGTTGCCTTTCGGAAACCATGGGGTTTACCTTCATTTGTTTGTTAAGAACTGAAATGTTTCAGTCAAAACTGTAATTGAAGACCTGTGTACAGTTTTGCAGACTCAGATCTGTGTGCAAGCACCTGCCCGTTGTATGCACGATTTGTTTGGTACAGTCATGTATTCTGTGCGAGAGCTATTTTCATAGCAACTGGAGGGTACAGTATGTTCTCAAGTGTCATTTTTAGTAAAGCTTATGAGCCAAACAAACATAATGTCCTTTCACTGGCTAGTCTTTGAGTCAAAGCCTAACATAATTTTCATCCTTCTTGAACGAGAGAGCACGGAGAGCTGCTTGAGATGAACAGCAGTCAGGCCGCCGAGTGTAAACAGAACTGCCATGGAAATAACTGCTGCCTTTTTGCTACAATTTCAATTTTAGCTCCTTTCAGACCTCCTCCTTTGGACTTGCATTTCCACTGCCAAATTAATGAATTGCATAAGAATGTAATTGGACAGAAATTCACAAATTCTAGGAGGTGTACATTAAAACCCATGAACAGGGACAATAGACTTGGCAGGTTCGGTGATGGTCTTACAGACCACTGGGGTAAATTGCAATGCTGCAGGCTTGGGGTCGAGGGGCTGGAAAGCTGCCTGGCGGCAAAGAACGTGGGGGTGTTGGTTGACAGCCGGCTGAATATGAGCCAGCAGTGTGCCCAGCTGGCCAAGAAGGCCAACAGCATCCTGGCCAGCATCAGGAACAGTGTGGTCAGCAGGAGTAGGGCAGGGATTGTCCCCTGTACTGGGCACTGGTGAGGCCGCACCTCGAATCCTGGGGTCAGTTTTGGGCCTCTCACTTCAAGAAAGACATTGAGGGGCTGGAGCATTTCCAGAGAAAGTTGTGCTGGGGGGGTTGAAATTGGATATTAGGAAAAATTTCTTCACCAAACGGGTTCTCAAGCATCAGAACAGGCTGCCCAAGGAGGTAGTGGAGTCACCATCCTTGGAGGTGTGAAAAGACGTGTAGACGTGGGGCTTAGGGACATGGTTTAGTGGTGGATTTGTCGGTGTTAGGTTAACGATTGGACCTGATGATCTTTAAGGTCTTTTCCAACCTAAAAGATTCTATATAATCCTATTTAATTGCACTGGGCCTGTTTCAAATCCTTCTAGAAGCCTATAGAATGATTCAAAGGATGAAGAAAGTACCAGAATAAGAAAGGGGAATTTGCTTGCACTGATTATGCACTACATATAGACTTAATTTGATTTAAAACGATCTTTGCACTGATTCAGTAACATTTAACCTCTTCAGGAATAACATGGATAACAAGAATAGCATACAGAATATATTTCCCACTTCATGCGTTCACACAGCAACTGAAAAAATGCTGGACATTTATTTAAGGTGAACTTTTCTTGGTTAATGTTAGTAGGCAGTGCCTGAATGTATATAAAACAGGGTCTTAAAAGGAAGCACTCGTCCCAGTTCCAGTTCTGGTATTCCTACCATGTTGGTGTTAGCACCTTTTTTCTACAATTTTGTACCACTGAAAAATCCAGGAAGATCGACCTTCCAGTCATTTAGTCCTTATTCATACACCCTCTGCTACCAGCAACAATCACTTTACAGTTAAACATTTTCTGAATATGCTTGGAAATACTTCCCAAAGGAAAAGGAAAAGTTATTCAACTTCTGCCTCAACATCAATAACTTTGTCCTGAAGCAGAGGCTCAGTTGTGACAACAAGGCACCAGCAAGACCCACGGCAGTGTGGCAGGGACCTAGCACATAGCTCGCAATTTTTACTTCTCAGAAAACAAGCAAATTGAGGTTTCAGTGCTTCCTTTGACCAGAAAAAAACAGTTATTTCATTTGTAATTCCTAAGATGACTTCTACTTCCTTCAAAAACAGCCATCTCTGATTTCTCTGAGAATCCCAGCCCTAGCACTAGCCTTGTACTAAGTTAGCTCAGAGGCTCTAAATTACAACAGTTGTATCTACCCTGCTGTTGCACGGTGCTTGCAGACTCCTTATATACAGCACAAAAAATGCCTTGAAATGTCAGCCAAGGCTTAGAAGTTTGACCTCAAGGTTCTGTAAAGCTACCTGGGTTTCTGGTTTCCAGTATCAATTCCATGATTCCAGTGTAAGTTTACCCTGGAGCAGAGCTAATGACTTATTCATTGTTTTGCTGAGGTGTGCATGAGGTACCATTTACCTGCTGAAACAGGTAAGTGCATCTGTATGATGCACAAGAGAGGGAAGCATCAGCTTTCCAACAGTCTTTCTCAATCAAAGGGGGCATTTTATAACAGCACCGGTCTACTGCATCTGAAATATACATTATTTTAGGGAGGAACAGCACTGAAAACCACATGCTTTGCTATTTTCTAATGAAGGACAAAAACCTCATACTGTCCTAACTGCATCCTGTTTTGTTTCTAGGGAAAAGAAAACTTGGACTGTGCTTTTGCCAAGAAAAGTTGGACCAGATGATCCTTCAGGTCCCTTCCATCCTGGCATTCTATGATTCTATGGTTAATTTTATGAATCAAAAAGTAGTAATCTGAAGGGAAAAATGCATTTTGCTTTCACATATGCTTTCTGTAAAAGACCTTGACATGTTGCGTGTACACAAAGATTGCATCCAGAGATGAACGTAGGGGGAGAAAAAGAGATGAAAGTCCAACTGTATGTATCATTTCACTGGTTTGTCATTTGCATCTGAAATTAAAAGGAATTGCCTGAAAGCATCAAATTAATTGTTGTATCAGTCAAAAAGCTCCACCACTGGATTGCTTCCGTGTGTCAGTACTGCTCTCCTGAAAAGAATAATCCCATTCCATAACCCATCAAGAGCTATATATTTAATAGTGAAATCTTCTGAGACAAAACAGGAAAGTCGCATAACCTATTCCTGCTCTCAGTCCCTGACATTTTTTGTCCTATCATCGCAGGCTCACTCACCACGACCGTGTGTAACCACAACCAGAGAGCTATATGGAGGCAGCACAAAAATGAGCAGCTCCTGAAAGCAATTCACTTCCAGGAGAAGATGGATTAGTGCACTTCTTATCTCAACAGCTATTTAACATTTAGCAGCTTGATCCTAAATACACTCTTCATGTTCAGAAGACTTTCAGAACACATACTTTCTGTTGTACAAAGGAAGAATTAAATGTAAACCACCATTACTTAAAAGCAAATGTGGCTTGGTAAGATTTGGCGCCATTACTTTAAGCAACACCTGGAGTTACCTTACCTGGGTAATGCATGCTCCGGTGAAAGCCACAATCACAGCCACAATGTTCACAGTGAGCTGGAACTGCAGGAACTTGGAGATGCTGTCATAGACGTTACGCCCCCACATTACGGCCTTGACAATGCTACTGAAATTGTCATCTGTTAGGATGATATCTGAGGCTTCCTTTGCAACATCTGTCCCAGCAATACCCTGGAAAGTTAATTGTAAATAAAATTACCTACTGGGAAGTACAGCGACAGAACACACATCTTCACCCTCAAAGCCCAAAGTTACACAAAGACTCCCCGGCACAGTAACGGTGGCTGCTGAGTATATTCTGCACTTCACATGCGCTAGGAAGTTTGCTAATTTGGCCTATTTTTGAAAATCAATAAGGATGTAGAAAAGGGAATTGCTAGAGAGCAGTGGAATTCATGTGATGATAGTTTTGAGTGTTTTAAATTACCGGCTTAATGTCTATTGCTCTTCTGAGTAATTTTTATCATTGATATTTTATTAATATACATGAATAGAATTGCAAGCAAAAATTAAAATTATATATCTTAACATGTAGTCTAGTATATATATTAATGTCTTCAGAGTATGTTGGGAAGAAGTCTTTATGTTTAGTGACAGATTTTACCAAAGCAAAATAGTACTCCACTGTTATGAAGAACACAGAGTTCATTTCCCTGTATTTGCACAGGATTCTGCATATAGCAAACAATTACCTTAGAAAAAGTATTGAAAAATCATCAAAGCAAGCAATACCAGTGACTCTAACACAGTAAATGAAAGGATGCTGAAGAAACTTAATTCAGCCCCTCCCCTATACTGTTGCACTGACAAGAAATAACTAAGCAACTTTCTCAACACTTAAGGAATTAAAACACTCTTACAGCAAATTTATAATGACACAAACATTAATAAATATGCCTGAGATGATACCATTGCAAAGCCAACATCTGCTTTCTTAAGTGCTGGTCCATCGTTGGTCCCATCACCAGTCACAGCTACAACCTGCCTCTGTTCCACTTGTGTGCTGTCAATAATACCTGCAAAAAATGCGTACGTGTGTGTAGGCGTGCATATATAAAAATAATTGGCAAGATAAATCTTCCCTCTAAAAAATGGCGGGGTCTGTGTAACACAGACTACATGATTCCACACAAGTCTTACAGAGATTATTAACACAGTTGATTTTTAAGGAATATAACAACAAAAGCAGTGTAATCACTACCACACATTACTAGACATTACTACTAGAATTTACATGGAAAGTTCTGAATCTGCATCATCAAAAAAAAAAAAAACCAAAACTTGCACAGACTTCAAAGGGAGTGAGATCAGCTCATTATGTTCTTTTGTAAAATATCTAATACTATGTGTCAGAGAAAACCCATTTCAGTCCAGCTCTCTGATTAACCATCAATGGAAAGGATTTACCAAAGCTTAAGTTCATGGTTAAAGGTCTCCTAAACTGGGACTGGACTGTATTATCTGCTTTACTGGGATGCCTTCTGACAATCAGTTTAACCTAAAGATAACAAATGCCACTGATGAATTTTGTAGCTGAAGCCCAATTAGCATGTTAACATGTTCAATTCTGCCAAACAATGATTAAGAAAGTATAAAATAGTTCTTTAAAGTCTTGAGCCAAACACTGTAATAAACAGACAAAATAATACAATTTCTACTTTCATTCTGAGATCATTTGAGAAAAGAAAGCACTTTTCCCTTGGTGAATCAATTTTCATGCAACTAGCCTGCAGGGAAATATGTTCCACTTATGCAGATGGGGAAGTAAGGAAAGGAATAAATAATTGTTCTAAGGTTACAGACGCAGCCCTGTTTTTTAATAGGATGAGGATCTTTCTACCACTCGTGTTTTTAATTTCCATGTCAGGGCCCCTCTGAATATGAGTCCAGAACACAGGACTTGGGTAGGATACAAGAGCACCTCCATAGTAGTAACTTGGGGCAGGGGGGGGGAGGAAATGACAAAATTCCATTTGCTAAAACATTTTGAACGAAGTCATAGCCTCTAAAAACAATTACCAAAGTTATCCAGTGTGAAATGCATTCATTCTACACTGAAAAAATAACTTGCATATCAGATAACTAACCAGAAATAGGAAATTGCAGATTACGGAGCAATAGCTGCCTCTTGGCAAGGTTCAGGCTTATCGGGCACCCAGAAGATTGCGATGCAGTATGGAAGCAGTTAGTGTCCTGTATTTCTCAGTCTTATGAAAATCAGAAAAACAACTGTTCGCTTTCCACTGGCAATATGAACTCAGATAAATGGCACATTATTCTGATAAGATCTTCTAATTAGAGCTTTCAATTCATTGGGGTGATTTGCCTTTGGTATTACTCAATAAACAGGACCAGCAGCTGCCATTACTGTTGAAAGCATTTATCTTGGTCTTCCATTCTTGTTATTAATACATCCTTTGATGTTAAATTACTAGTTTAAGCTTTTAAAAATAGTTATCAACATCTCTGACACATTGTGGTTTTCACTGCTCCAAACAGGTAGATAACATCCTCTCACAACGGGTTCCAAATGGGAGCACAACCCAAGGCAAGTTGAAGAGGCTCCAACAATGACCTCCTCACAGATAGAGTGCTCTGATGTCAATTGCTGGATGCAGCTGAGTGATCTACAAGCTTTAATAGTCGGTCACAAGGTTTAATGGTCAATTTTATCCCCAAAAATCAAACTATGCAGTTGGGCTAAGCCCAGCACCCTGCACAGCACAGAAGTGCATAATCAGTACTCATGGAAAGAGATAGAACGGCCTTGGATATCCTCATCATCTGAACCACCCACCTTCACTGCAGCGACCACTGCTCATGCCATCAGAAATAGTCACGGTATGGCACAACAGTGTGTGGATGGATTTCTGTGTTACTCACGTCAGAGGAGATCTGTGCAGAACTTTCATTTGTTCGTCACACAGATTTCTAAAACGGAGCAGTAGTGACGACTTGGGATTCTGAGGATTTATCACAGCTATACCCTTCTGCATGCTCCTACTATTCTGCTCCTCCTCCCCCCTTCCTCACATTGCTGAATGCTTGTCTTCTCTCCATCACATGCCTCTTTCCTAACCCTATTTCCTTTTACTTTTTCTTTCTTTCTTTGCCATTATTCTGTTAATGGTTGTTACAAGGTTTCACCTCAGGAATTTTCTTCACTGTCAGTAATATGTCTGTATAGATTTCACAAACAGCGTAAGGAGACCAAACAGAGGAGAGATGCCTAGGAAGTTTTCTACCTTCTGCAGTCTTGGGCCACGGGGAACTGCTTCAGTGATCAGTGAAAAACGCAAATAAGGGCATGACCTGACAGACTGCCAATGAAGAGAATGCCCGTTTCTTTAACACTCACTGGACTTCCCACTCATTCACAACAGCTAAAGAGAAACTTCAGTGTTAGTCATGTCTAACAGCCAGGAAATTTCCTCAGAATAAACTCCTTTATCTGGCTGAATGCTTACATACAAGCATTTTATAAAAACAGGTCTGCAAGGTATAGCAAGGGAAATCCTAAAACTCAGCAAAGCCTCCTCCCAAAACAGCCTTTGCTGTTTCACTGGTCTGTTCCCTCAGCAGAAGCTGTTTGGCCCAGATGTTCTTCTGTCAAGAAGAATTTTATGCAACAGCCACAGGAACACACCTGGAGCGTAACATCACAGCGTTTCACACACAGATCCTGCTGATGCTGCAGGAAGCTGGGAGAACTCATGCAGCTTACGTAAGTTTTTCAGAGGAAGCAGCTTGTTTCTGATGAGGAAAAGGATCATGTTTAAAGGACTCTGTGTAGCTGTGAAGAGGGGCACCATAGGCACCAGACTGCTATTAAAGGTACCAGCATTGCATGTGCAGCCGAAAGTGAAACATACCCTGGATTTCCCACCTTCCTCCAAACTACCATTAAGCAAGCATTAAATCAAGTCCACTCAGGATAATAACATAAAGAATATGAACCACTTCCATTCCTTTTACAAGGAGCTATCTGTCCATGGCTCAGACCACAAACATCAACTATAGGCTCAGGCTCTCCCGTCACTGCAGAACACGACAGGCTTTACTTCAACAATTCTTAGGTGCGCTGTCGCCCTCAGAGCTGCAGCAGTAAGACACCGCTGGTTCTGGGAGACAAACACTCCTGGTTTAGTTATTTATTTGTCTCAACTGACTAACTCGAGGCAGAGAGGCAAAACCTCGCTACAGCAGAGTATTCCAAAGACACACACCAATTCAGGTGTTCCTGATGCAGGGAAGCTGATCATCCCATATCCTCAAACACATTCGTATTTCTTTGACAAGCTAAACACAGACAGATGTGCTAATCCCTTTTCATAGGCATGTTCTGTTCAGATTAGTTTTTAATACTTCCAAATTTTTTGAAGCTCCCTGTTAATTTAACAAGAACTTAGAAAGTCTGTTTGAAAGAGAAAATTTCAATTCACTTTCATACTTAAGTATGTACGTGAATAGAGCTTTAAAGGTGAATGCAGAAGTGTTATATGTAACACTACAGACAGAACTGGTAACTGTGAAGTGAACAGTGCTCCACAAAGTATTAGAATGGCAGAGAACAACACGCCTACAACTCACGGATTTCTGTACTAAGCACACACCACCAATGTGCTTCATATTGTAAGACTGAAACGCTAAAGGGAAACCTTGAGGGCATCAGTGCCTCCCACAAAGTTACACTTAACACAGAGCACAGAGACCTAAATGGCATTTATAGAGGATAAAACTAGATTCAAATGTCTCCTGCTTCCTAGAAACTATTGTTATGTTCTTCACTTCAGGGAAGAGTTGATTGAAGATGACTTTTTACGCTGCGGAACAGATCAACATTCTGAATGTTTTTTCATAGGAATTTGAATAAGAAGAAATATTAATATTTTCTCTCAAATGGAAGTCAAAACCACTTGCAATTTGCAACATGATGGTATTTCAATTTCAATTAATACACTTTTCTAGATTTTTATTATTCTACCTCATCTCATGACATGTCCACATCATGAATATAGTATCATCCCACATGATAAGATGTGAAACACTATTATTACTCAAAAAAAAAGGTAATTAAGAAAAATATTTTCTTCTTTGAAATTCCCTTCTGTTAATAAATCAGCCTTTTATGAGAACAGAATAATTGGTATCACAGAAAAATAATTTCAACCTGATTTAAACATAATGGAAAGCACTGCTTCTTTAAGTGGTAAACTGAATATTTATTTGATCTTCTCTATACTTTCTGATGATTATTTATTTCCCATCAGTCCTAAACAGTTGCTTCCCACAGTATTTAAAAAAAACATTAATGCAGTGTTTCAGCTATACCATTATAAGGACACATCAGTATAAATAATATGTTTTTTCACTTGTTGTATTTTGACATAGGGTAAAAAACATGAAATAGTACCAATGGAGCTCATAAAATCCGTAAGAAATTGTATTTCAGTTGTATTCAGATATCTCACATTTTCGTTTCACTGTCTGTGATGATAAACCATTTTGACTTTTTTTTTTTTAAACCTACCTCTACTTCAAAGCCATAAATATTTGAGAGGAACTGTCTGCCCAGCCTGAAATGCTGAACCATGCCTTTCTCTAGTCTCTTTGCAGTAGTAAAAACAAAAATGCAAAATAAAAAACTGATCCTTTTGCTGGGTGGGATTGTGCTGTGCTAAGGAGAAAAAATATACCCTCCAGCAGCTGTGTGTCATTAAAAATTAAATACAAAAAAAGTTTATTTTGTGATGTATGTTTTTACCCTAGAGCAGATAAAATACATCAAAGAAGAGAATATCCTCTTGATCCCTCAAACATCTGAAAAAAACCCTAACACTTTAACAAGGGGCCCAAAACCAGCGAACATTTAAATAGATTCTTGTACCTTCTAATGGCCCTTGGAGTATTACCAGCCAAAAAATTCCATCATGATTTTCCAGACTTGGTCTTGAACTTCATTAGCCACTTAACTGTTCTATCATTTGACCCTGTCACATCTTTAAAACACTCATTGTATTAGTTGCATAAGGCATTACAGCAGTAGTAAATACCTTTTGGATTGTCAAAGTGCATATGTGATAGAACATCAACCACTTGTTGCTTATTGTTCTTCAGCTCTTCATTGATTTCATCTTCTCTGGCAAAGGTTTCATTTTCCTCTTAAGGGAAAATCCCGAATGATTCATGTGAGTGCTCCCAAGGGACTTATTCAATCCACTTAATGAAACACATATTACTGTGTGTTTCTGAAACAAATAAACTATTAAGCTGTACAAATTATGTTCTCTAAGAACCGTAAGGCAGTATTTTATATGCACTAGGGAAGTGAGGAGACTTAGCTAACTTTGTGCTGTTTTAATACTGACCTACAGAGCTAACAATTATTTTGTCCAAACCACTGGTTCCCAATCATGACCACCTATCAGTAAAATGTTTTTGAGCACACAACCCCAAGATATGCGTATTATTCATAAATTGCCCACACGTACTACTAGTCTAATAGATGATGTATATTATAAAACATCCATTTAAAAAGGATGTTTTAAAAGAGGTGAAATAAACGGTATTTAAAAAATTTTCTTCTACCTAATAATGGTAAAAAAAACTTTCTTCCTGCATCCCAGTGGATGGTCCCTGATGTATGTGCACTCCACTTTACAGACCACTGGTCTAAACAGTGGCTGGAGAGGATGAGTAACAGCAGTATATTCCCAGCTGCCCCATCTCTTGCATCATGCCAGGGCTTACCAGATATCTTAGTTTTTTTGAATGATCCATGCTTCCAGAGCTCTTCACATACGCTGGCCCCAATCCCAAAGGACCCAACTGATCCAATCTTTAAATTCACAATGGAACTTTTGCTCTGAAGTGTTTTAGGCATTTAAAAATTTACATACTGCCCCAAGGCCTCTGTCATCAGTCAAGTTTGGAGTCGTATAAATAAAGCCTTGCCATTCCAAAAGGATAGATCCAGAACCAAATGAAAACATGTCACTGATCATCTGGGTCTTATCCTGAACTTTAGCTCTTCCCAGGATTACTAAGGGTCTCTCCAGACTTTCTAGGGTCTTAGCAAAGTAATCCAGTTCTTCCTTCATCAGGAAGCCAGCAGCCACGGCCATCCACAAATGGGGCTGTCGCCTGCACCAGCCCCCATCTTACCACAGCCAGAAATTATTCCTGGTCAGCAATTTTCTGATTTCATCAGCGCTCTTTTAAGTGAGCTTCAAAGTCAACCGAATAACATTTTATCAAGAAGTGCTAGTTACAGATATGAAAAAAGGCTTTATAAAGAAAACAAATCGCTCTTTTATAGGAGCATTCCATCTGCGGACAGTATGGTAAGAGAATATAATTTGTAGGGTGCAGTTTTTATAGGACAAAACCAGACTCTAAAAATACAGCCAGAAATCTAAAGGAAGTCAATGCAAATCATAAAATTAGTGAGCCTAAAGGAATACGGAACTGGCTTAAAATAGGTATTGCCATTCATGTAAACGCTAAAGTGGGCAGCTCCGAGTTACAGAATCACAGAACGATTGGGGTTGGAAGGGACCTTAAAGCCCATCTGGTTCCAACCCCCCTGCCATGGGCAGGAACACCTTCCACTAGACCAGGTTCCTCCAAGCCTCATCCAGCCTGGCCTTGGACACTTCCAGGGATGGGGCATCCACAGCTTCTCTGGGCAACCTGTCCCAGTGCCTCACCACCCTCTCCATGAAGAACTTCTTCCTGATGTCCAATCTAAACCTCCCCGCTTTCAATTTAAACCCGTTACCCCTTGTCCTGTCACTACAGGCCCTTGTAAAAATTTATGTATAAATATAGATATATGTGTATGTATACATACACTCGTATATGCATATAATACAAACATATATGATCTCCAATAACTGCTATTCTAACATGAAAAGTTTTTTATCTTTGAATACTCTTTAAAAATAATGGTGGGAGAATAGGTGCACTTGGGCGACTTATTTACTCTAAATGAGCTTGTTCTTGTTTTCTTCATATAGAAGTTTAGGTAAAAACTACAGAATTTATGCCCTCTTTTGTTTATAGGAAGAACAACCTGTTTCTCAACAACAGTCTCTTTCTGACCAGCAAAAACACCTTTTCCTTTCCCAGCTACAGCCTTGTTCTACTCCACTTCAAAGTCACAAGGCAAATATAAGATTGCCTACATCTACTTGCCACACATCTTATTAGTATTTCATTTACTCCTGCCAACCAGTTTCCTATTATTTTCCATTTGAAGGCTCACTTAGAACACAAGAGTCCTGGTTACCAAGACAACTTCCTGGCATTACGTACAGATGTGCAATTCAAGGTGACAACTCAGAATCATTTATAAGAGTAACATGTTTACAGAGCAGATGATGCGCTGAGCACAATTCAGCGCTTTGGCGTCAGTGCGCACACGTGTGCGAAGGCTGTCTGCACCCACCTTTCACCAACGTGTGTTTGTCCGTGGGAGACGAACGAGCAAGCACTCGAAGCTTTGGCCAGATTTTGTCAATCCGCTCTTGCTCAATCTGGAGGGGAGATCACACACACAAAAAAAAACCCAAAACCAAAAAGACAACAACAACAAACAAAACAACCAAACAAACCCAAAACCAGTAAAACTGTTAGCCTGCGATTAGCAAAACACAAAATATGTTTGTGTCCATGTGTCAGGTGATTCACTTCACTGCTCAGATCTGCAGCTTTTCTCCAAAAGCACAGAAAAATTACAACAGCCATCTGTGCTGTAAATGAAGGCAAGGCCAAAAAGGCAGTTTTCTTCCACCAGAGCTCAGCTGTTGGCTAACACAGGTAAATTCTGCCACCGCATGAAATCAGCCTCTCAGCAGCTTCATGGATAATTCCCTCAGAATCATGCCTCTAGGTGTGGGACAGCGGAGTTTCTCAAAGCCGATGAAACGTGTACAAGTGTGTTGTTCTATTTGCATTTGAATCCAAGCTCTGCACTTCATTTTGGCACCAATAATGGCAGAATCTCCTCTGTGTACCAACAGCAACAAGGACAAACCCATTGTTTACACTAACATCCCTTGATCCCATCAATCCGTGCGAGGAGTGAACGACTGTCCATTCGTTCATGACGGACTCAAAGACACAGCACTGAGTTTCCTCTTTTACAGCTGACTTCAGTAGCCTGTCTGTTAGCTCCATCTTTTAGGGGGAGTTAAAAATCTCCCACAGAATGGATTAAGCTGTACAAATCATTAGAGTGAGTGGATATAGCAGTATATTAGATAAAGTGGTATGAAGTAAAGAAATGAGAGGAGCTGGTTCTCAGGACAGACAGCATTTTCATGAGGCAGATCTGCAAACTGCTATTGAGTTCCCTCTCCTCTCTGCTAACAAACCTGCTTTTAATGTGCTTAGTTTTGATTTCTTGTAGAGTAGTGCTGTGGTTCTAAAAACTGCTGAATTAGCCTAGCACTAAACTGATTGTGGCTCTGCATCATGAAAAGTAAAGACTGCATTTTCCATCTCCCCAAGTAGTCTTCGCCGAGGTACACACGGATGACAGTGAAAAACCATTACAGTGTTGTCACTGTTTTTAATAATAGTCACAATACATATGGGTTTAGTAGATGACTTACCTCTCCCTTCTCATTTCGGATCCTCCTGTTAAACTCTTTCCAAAAAATCTTCTCCCGGATGAATGATTCCACATTTTATGGCAATGGCACGAGCTGTGTTGATGTTGTCTCCAGTGACCATGCGGACTGTAATTCCAGCTCGCTGGCACTTTCTTATGGCTTCTGGGACCTATAAAAGCAATGTAGCAGGAGAGAAAATTCCTAGATAAGAGATAAAATGGCAGGTGTTTCCAATCAGAGTATTTTGCAGCTAAGAAATTCATGCAGCAAAAGGAGAAATAATACATGTTACAGCGTAAATTAGAGCTACCCGATTATTATAGGATTGAGTTCACATTGCAGGCAAGACAAATCATGATACATGAAGCACACATACAGGTTTTTCGATCAGCTGCCTACAGCTTTCCTTGTCTTCAATAAAAAGGAGTGCTTGGCAGCTTTTCTGACTTTCAGCATCAAGGTTCAGCACACTGAACCTAGCATACTCAACATACATGAAAATATGAACTGAGAACACATGTATTCTGTACAGAAAATTGTCTAACTTCTGATCCAAACTTTCCATTCAATAAGATTATCTAAAAATGTATTGTAATTTAGCGCTATGGCACTAATGCATGCGTATCAACAGGCAGAATTCGTAAGAGTTTAAAATTTCATTAATAATTTACATATTTTGAACTGTAAAAATGAAGCTTGATTTTAGTTATGCTCCTTCCTGCATAAGACTACCTTTTCCTGTTGTACAGCACACAAACCTGTGTGCAACAGCATCATGTAGAGTTTATATAAAAATAATAAGATTTTTCTAATTAAAATGTGCAAGAGCTAGGAAATTGATCCCTAATAATTAAAGCTCTTTTCATACATCAATACTTGGGTGTATGAAGTCAGTGTCTGTAGACAGGCTACATATCTATAGCTCAGTGTCAGGTAGGAAAAAATTCTATTCCCTTAAACGTATCATAATAAATAATGAATTATTGCTTAGTAATAAGCACCACTCTAACCAAACCAATGAATACAGTGTTACCACACTTTTGCATTATTATGAAAGTGTTATTTTCTTCAAGGAAAAAGAAATACCAGTATTTTCTGACATGAAAGAAGAAGTGTGTTTTAACACCTCAAGAACAGCCTAGATAGATACCATCAGCACAGTACCACTTCTCCAAATTTCCATTTTCACCTAGAAGAACCTAAGGGTATCCCGAGACTCCTTGTGAAGAGAGAAACCCATCACAGAGCTACAGGAAACTGCACTGCCTTACTCCAGAAGACAGCAAAGAGCAGACATAAAGCAATTAGAGGTTGCACCGGTTCTTACACGTAGGCCAGCAGAGAGGTACGTGAAATGCCAGTCAGATTCCCAAAAGATGGCATGCCTTAGATAAGCATCCGAATAGGCAGTGATCCTAAGTCAATTTCCAGACAATTTGAAGTTTAGCCCACGAGTTCAAACGGCTCCAAAGAGCTGTCCCTAGGCGCCTGCTCTGCAGTGCTGCCTAACACGCCCCGTCTATGTAAACGCATACTCAAATGTGGTTTGCATTTGAGTAAATTCCCCAAATACCTGTACTTGACCACTGACTGCGAATTGCTGCTGTACTACCAGCTGAGCTTCTTCAGAAGCCATGCTTAAAGCAGTGGGATCATCTGACTATGATGAATTGTGTCAGCAGTCGTGTATACAGACCTGTTGATTTCCTACAGAAACTAATCAGCCAATGATATGACAATAACTTTAATCTTAAAATATTTTTTTTAAAACTAAAAAGAATCCTATTTGGTTTAATAAAGGCTATCAAAATGGGTATTAATGGCTACAACAGCAGAGCCTCACTATATTCTGCCGCCAGTTCAGTGCAGCTGCTGATCATAACCTCTATCATAGATGTAAGCCTATTGCAGAACTCAATGCCAATTAGAGAGGATTAATCTCATCCATTAGTACAGAAAATATTAAGGAGGCACCATCTACAACTGTACATTGTTAATTTTGTGCATTTCTAGGTATTTTAATTTCCTCTATAGCCACAAGCAGGTGGCACTGCTGAGGGCAGGACGTTGCCTTTACTTGACAACCACTGCTCTGATCCAGCGTGGCAAATGCTGGGCTTCTAGTGATGGCACGGGGCCAGAAAGGCTACAGCACATCAGATTGAAATGATACACCCTTAAACCGTATTGTAGATAATCATTACTCCAACCAGCAAATACAATTTCACACCATGTTTCTGCATCTTCATTAAAATATTCTTTTCTCAGGAAAAACGAGTACTATTCACTTGCATAATGGTACTCGAAACGTCTCTAACACTCCTACATCAACGCAGATGCTCACACAGAGGGCACAGTGACTCAGCTGGCCAGTTGTGTTCTTTAATAAACAAGAGGCAGTGGTGAGCCTCCAGTTTTCCCAACTGCCTCTAAACTAACACCTAAGGGAGGATCAGACTAAGACTTTTCCCATGACTACAAAGAACACTCCACCCTCAGACTGCACCCACTTTGCAGAATGACTCTCAATACAGATTACAGAACCAAGAGAAAAGATACCTTCCCACTTCCTCACATCTACTGGGAATATTCTTCCCACAAGCTGTATCCTGGAAACGTTATTTGGACCTGAAGCCTTTTAGCATCATGAAATAGAACTCTATGGGGGACATGCAACCAGATTAAATCTATTACTTAAACAAATGACCCCTGCTTTAACAAGTTTCCACATTAATAACTCTGACTACATCCCATTTGCCAATGTGGAATGCCCTCAGTATCCACCTTAACTCCTGTGGCCCTCCTGCGTAGGATATGACAGATTTAGGTGACTATCTGTAAAACCAGCACAGCGTATGAACCATGAAGGAGAGAAATAAATTACAGTGCAAATACAAAAAAGGGTCCATTCACATAAAGTGTCACCCCTATCAAACAAGGTCATGGGAGGACAACCTAGTTTCAAATACATCCCAAACTCAAATATAATGAGAGAATTCTTTTTTTTTAATTATTATTATTATTTATATTTTCTATTTTATTTTCCTTTTCTCTCACTTTTTTAGGACAGCTGGTGGGTGGTGTTTGGTTTAATACTGTGTACAGTAATTACAGTTAAAATATTGTTCATATTTTTTTATTGCTGTAAGGAAAAAAAGAGTGTTGGCAGACTGAGTGGGCAGTGGAAGCAGATATTTTCCATCAGTTTTGAAGAGCTTAAGTACACATTTTAAAATTTTCTGGTTCATTTCCTCTCTGCAGAGAAAAGCTTCTAATGCATGCATGCATAAATTATCCAATGCAGGAATATCTATCAGAATCAGGTGACAAATAAATAGGTGACATTTGGAATTGATTTCCGTTCGTCTCGCAGAAGTAACAGACCGTAGGCGTACACTGGCAAATCAGAATAAGCCGGCACAGACTCATTAAAAACAATCCAGAAAGACTGTCACAATCAACAGAGAAATCTCAGCAAGAATGACGTCATTCTATTTGTTCTATTCATGTATATTTATCAAAGAACACCCCCCCCCAACAGAAACTAAATATCAAGTAGGTAGTTCAGTGCTTGAGAAAATCCACCGCTGATAATGAATATGCTAGTGTCTGAATTAACCTAAATAATCAAGGAATTCTGCAAAAGTCATGGGAGTCAATGGTTACATTCCAGATAAAGCTGGTCAGTTGCTGGATTTCACTGTTGAATAATTCATTCAAGTAGGGTTTTTTTACGTAGGGGAGGAAATGCAAGTGCAAGGCAGCTCCCAGCAATATTATCAGAGCAGATGCAAGCACGCTTATCGCTGAAAGCACGCGAGTGTGACACCACTGACACTGCAGGAGTTGGCAGGTTTGGGCACTCCCAGGCCGCATGTAGGCCACAGGAGCTCTGCAGAAACAAGGAATCTGTAACTCTCAATGTCTTAACTCCAACGGCCATTCTAGGGAAAAGGAAAAAACTGAGCCTTTCCAAGGAAAAATGGGACTGTAATTTAAAGGAAGCAAAAGGCTGCCAGGGTGGTGACAATGGATCGTTTAATTGGAATTACCTTTTCTACCATTCCTGTCAGAATAAATTCCAATATCCATGAATACCAACGATATTAATAAAACAGCATTTGTAGTAATACTTCCAATTTTTATGGGGTTTTTTGGGTTGGTTTTTTTTTTTCCCCTCCACAGAAAGCACTGTGAAAATTCATAAACTCCTGCGGTGACTCCATTTAATAAGCAGGCTTAATTTTGGCAAAACAGTAGAGTCCCTTGTAACAGTTCAGTGTCTTTACCATTTGCATCTACAGCGATGATTTCACCACTGTAATATATTACATTTCTTTCATTTCTTTCTCCTAATGTACTGCTACTGCTTTTTACTAACGTGTGGAATAGTACTAATTTAAACACTGTTTTGAATTGTCTCATGATGTTACTACCACTACAAAATAGTCAAAAGGGACAAGGAGGGGAAAAAAAAAACAACCAAACCCAACAACAATATCCCCAAAACCAATTCTGCAATATTTGGTAAAATTCTAGAATTACAAACTTTTTTGTGTGGGTCTTGCAATGAAGTAAGAAGTGTTAGTGCATATTCTGGTGGTAAACTACAAGAAATTCAAGACATTATCCCAATAATTATCTAGAAGTAAAATGTTTTCCTGCCTTGGTCTTATTTGATCCTTCACATACAAGTCAGACATGACTTCTTTGTTTTTGGCAACACTAAATTTTTACGTCAAGCTCCTAAGAAATTATTCCCTACGAGATGAGAGCAGTTCTCCTACAAAACACTCTCACAACAATCACATGGAAGGATAGTTTGCAGCTATTTTCTGTAATAACTGCAAATCCCACTGTTTCCTTCAGTCTGTCATATCACACATAACCAGACTTAAAGCTATTTCCTAACAACACGTAGCATGAATCAATTTTGGAGGGAAA